TTTTAAAAATTTTTACAATGGAAGTTTCCAAATTTTTGTCAAATGTCCAAAAATTTGTATCATTTTGCATTTTTTATTTTAATATCATAAATAAGGGCTGAAGTTTATAAAAACCGAATGCAAAGCGTAGACTACAGCTTGCATTTTGCAAAAACGCAGATTGCAGCCTACTTCATGCAAAACCTTTCATTATATTTTTTATGCTTTGACATTAAAAAAGTAAGTAAGTAAAGTAAGAAAGAAAAGAAAGTAAGTAAATAAGTGATCTTTAAAGTAGCCTTTTTTCTAAAATTTCATAGAAATAAAAATGAACCTATTTGTGGAAAATTTACTCACAAATGAATGCTTGCTTTGTGAAAATTCATCGGAAAAATTTAAATTGTTTTATTTGAAAAGATTCTAAATTCGATTAAAAAGGAAAATTAGGTATGACAATAAAATATGGTAATAGGTAATAAAAATTTTGCATGAATTTTCCGTCGTCATAGAAATTAATCTTTTAAAAAAAGAAGACGTAAAGATGAGAGCAAAAAATAAAAAACCCGCAAAATATAGAAGAAAATGATAAACGAATGAAATAATTTCTCATTTTGAAATCTTTTGTTTAAATAAGATTCAGTGATTGATTAACAAAATAAAAATGAGATTTTCAGATGCATTTTTGCATAAATTTTTGTATATTTTAAATATTAAATATAATTTTATTTTTTTTATAAAAATTTTTTACAAAAATTAAAAGTTATTTGTTATAAAAATAGAAAAATATTAATATTAATTATAAATAAAAATTTGAAATAATATTGTTACTGCGAAATAATAATTTATTTAATAAAATAAAGCGATAACCTTGGCGAGAAAATATCGAAAGTTCAGGTCAGCGTTCTATTTCGTGATTTTTTAATAAAAAAAAAATTGAGAAAGAATATTTTATAAAAATTGGTTTATTTAAAGAATTAAGTTTATTAAATAATTTGAATTCTGCGTAATCTTAATAAAAGAAGATGAGTAAAGCTCGAGTATGAGTAGAGCTTGAGCTTGAGCTTGAACTTACTGCACAGTATCGAACTCAAATTATTAAATTTTTTGCCCGATATAATCCTTGGTTTCCTTGGTTTTTGTGAGATTTTCTTTTATATTCACTGCTGTAAATTTTATTTTTACAACTTCAAATAGCAGCAATATTGAATTGTCAAATTAATCGTATAAATAAATATATATACAAATAAACCAAACGAAGAGTTATGTTCAGTGTATTGAATTTCTTTAGATTTTCAAATTTGTGTTCGCTATTCAAAATACAATTCTTCAGGAGAAATCTGCACAATCGCAACAACTAGTTCTTCGTTGAGTTCGACTCATAGCTAAGAAAATCCTTTTTCCTCACTTTCTGAACTTAAATTGATTATTTTCTAATATTTCAAATTAGCATGGAACCATAAACTGTAAACGATAACCGGAATGATAGCCACCCTAACGCTTTTAAATACTGAATGGAACTAGAGTAACTATTAGGTAATTATTGCCCAATTTCCTTTAAAGTTTTGGAAACAATTCGGATAAACTGATTATAATATATGAAAATTTCTTAATTTATTATAAAAATAAAAATTAATAAAAAATAAATTATTAATAAAATTAATAAATTTTTCTTATTTTTTATTCCTTTCACTAACTAGCAATATTTATAAAAATGGACCGAGCGTACAATATTCCTTAAGAAAATTTTCATGCTATCAAAATCTATTTGAACTTTATCGATAACATTGGATCAAACTATTAGGGTTAACATTCTCACATTATATCCCGTAAATATGTCAGTAGCTCGTTGAGTTCACCCGAAACAACACGAAAATTTGCACGAAATTCCTATGAGATCTGCACAGCATGTGATCAGTGGGCCACTAGTGGTCCACAAAGATTTTCTTCGAAATTTAGGTCGATGATAGATTCATTTTGAAAATTGTACCTATTTAAAGTATAATTTGCATATGAAGTGCACCTTGTGGCATTTTTCGGCACAAATCGGCATATCTCATTTAACTCTTGAATGTGACAAACTTATCACTGAAAAGAGGTCTTTTGCACCATATTAGATAAGTATGAAAATTTGCTACGATAATTTTTCTTTTTCCCTAATCTTTTCGAACATCGAATCAGTTTTGGTCCTTTGGTCATTTTTATTCAAATAAAATCCATTAATTTATTCGTTGAATAGATTTATAGGTTTTTCTGGCAATTGTATTTATTTTATTCGATATCATTTAGTTTATTGAGCATCGTCTTATTCAGTTTTTTCAGCAAACACATTTTGCTATGTTAAGATTAATGAAATTTTTTGCTTTTTTGGATTTATAATGCATATTTCAATTGCCGAGGTGCGCATTTAAATGGATATTTTCTATTGATATATATTCGAAAATCAGTCAATTAAATTTAAATTATTGAAATAATGCCAAAATTAACTTTAATATTCCATCTTATCAAGTAGTATTTTAATTTCATTCGTTTTCTTCACAAAAGATGGAAAATTAGTTGTATTAGAGAAGAGTTTTACTGAATAATTTGGTTAAATTCATGATTAAATCCTTGAATATCCTTTGCTCTCAAGTTAATTTTAGCCATTTTGCTTACAGGTAAATCACGAACAGTACACAATTCAGAATGAAGGAGTTCAAGACTGCTCTGATGTGAGTCTTTAATAATGCTCAATAATTTCTACCTATTATAATTACTTTTTGTGAAACTGCAAAATAGTATATTCCAGCATATGCACTTCGTAGATTCTCGAAATCCTCACTTCCACTCACTATTCCCACTATGGACTGCATTCATTCCAGGTTGAGGATCACTATTATAAAATACCACAAAAACACCGTAGAAAGAAAACTTACTGAAGAACGTTTCGCATCAAAAATCAAAAAGATTTAATTTTATGATTTTCACTTTTTTCAAATCGATTTTATCATTTTGAGGAATTTTTGAAGAATTCGAAGAATTTATATTTTCTGCGATATAAATCTCTGAAATTCATTTATAGCTTTCACTGCAAATAATTTTTTTAGATTTTTGAAATGTTTTTTCATTTTATTATTTCGAAAAGTTAAAATTTTTCCTATTTTATTATTTAAATGGAACCTATAATAATGATGAATGCTTGTGGAACTTATATAATTAAGCGGGTTATTAGTTATCATTTCTCGTTAGAAGCTATTCGTAGGATTGAACATTTTGCTGGAAAAACATTTGGCAATAGAAGCACAACTGGAACTCAAGCAACACCCTGGTTTTTTTATAGCGGGTTTAGGCTCGTTCCGCTGGAGTAGAGGCCGAATTGTTATTCTTCTGCAAGACACATTTGGCCAAACTATCACTCGCATTATCATTATTATTACTACAAAAATTTTATTTATATAAAGATTCGATTTTTTTGCTCCAAAAATTTTTTGATAAATTTCCATGAATGAAAAAATCTGATTGATTCTTACAAAATATTATTTATTTATGATCAAATTTTTTTATTCGTACTTTATTTATTTAATAGTTTCTTTTAAATTTTTATTATTTTTTGAATTTTTTCTTTGAAATTTATTTTTAACTCTTTTTTCCATCTTAAAATGAATATTATTATTTAATAATTATTTTAGCTTATTTCAAATAAAGCGAATAATTAATTTATTTCGATAGTATTCTTTTTTTTAATGACGAATTTCACTAATTATGCACTAATTGTATAAACACATGCCACCCTGCTTGCTTGGTTTTCAATAAATAAATAAGTGAATTAGGTTAAATCATTTTTCTTCGTCATCACGTTTCAGCCGAAAATATTTGGGATAAATATTGATAAAACTGCGAATAGCCTTCTGTCGAGTAGCCTTAGTGCAGTGTAACTTTAGAAACAATAATTTAGCCTTCTGTTCCATAAAATGATGTTGCGGACTCGTGGTACTCGTAGTGTTGAAAATGGTAAAAAATTTAATAAATATAGAGTTTTAATAAATATAGAGTTACTTGTTTTTTTCAGTAATTAATCTAAGACATTTAGTTAGCTTTTGGTTAAGTAATTTGGTTTTTTGAAGATTTCCACGAGAATCTAAAATATTTTTGCGAAAATTCATTGCTTTAGATTTCACAGTTTGTATTTCAAAATTATTGATAAATTTCGCTGAAAAAGTTTCCTTCATTTTCATCAAATATGATTCAGTTCTGGCGACTCATCGGTAATTCTATAGCTAAGTGACTAAATTTGTTCGGTCCGAGAAGCCAGCGCAGCGAGCTTAAAGGAATGATGAAAGCGCTTACAAAAAAAATGCAGTTGAATAAAATTTAAATAATTTTGAAAGATTTTTTAAATTTATGATTTATTAGTGATAATTGTAAATACTATTAATTAATCATCAATGCCACATTATTTCCCTTATTCTATCATTTCTTAAAATTTTTTTCGCCGAAATTCTTCAACTCTTCAACCTCTATGACCTTAGAATTCTGTTCGTAATTTTTTAAAATTTTTTTCAAATTTATATTTCAAAAAAATTTCAAATTTTTCAAATTTATGCTGGAATTTCTGGAATAAATTTATATTGTTTTTTAAAAAATTTTTTACTTTTAAGTTAGAATAAGTAAATTAGAACAAATAAGAAAAATTAAAGATTTAAAAAATCAACAGAAATTTTAAGTTTTTTAAGCAAAGAACTGAGCATTTTCCAGCTTGAAATATCTGATCGCTCAATAAAAAATCGTATACAAACAGTGCGAGAACGTAGATCACGAAGTCATCCAGTTCACAATTATGCAAATGTTGATGATTATGGTTTCCATTTTTATTTTATTTGTAAAAATTAGATTAGATGTTTTTCCATAATTTTTCATATTTTTCATATTTTTTCAGATTTATATTTTGATAAGATATTTTGATATATTTTTTTGCAAATCATTTTCTTATACAAGTGATTTAATTTTAATTCTAGCATATATAGAAACCAATCGTATTTCTCGCAATGGTACGAATTCATCTTTAACTCGTAATGAATCAACTGATATAAATGCGAATGATAAAAGCAGTCGTAGTTCAACGCATAGTACAGCATCATCTATAGCAACTTCTTTTACGGCATCCAGTGCTGATGATCAAGTGAGAATTTATTTTTACCTTATAGCGATTTGCAACACCGAATAGCTGCTAGGGATCTCTATCCATAAATGGCTGTCTAGCGAAAGGCCTTCTTCCCTTCATCATTGGAACTAACCAAGCAGAAATGGTGAATGCAGCTGAAAGATGAAGATTTGTCATTGAAATGGACTTAGAATTTATTTAAAGCCTTTTTCTCTCTTTTTTTTGGATAACCATGATGAAACAAATTTGCCTTTTCAAAACTCCTAAATAATAACAATGATAAATAATAATTTCCATCATATTGCATATTATTATATTTCATATTATTATATTTCCGCAGTCACTGTTAACGGCTGAAGCCATCTGGGACCATGTTGCTATTTTGCCCGATGAACTTCCATTTGCTTCTGGTGATTCTATCACAATACTTGATTATTCGTCACATCCAGAGTTATGGTATGGAAGTTGCGGTGAAAGTACTGGCTGGTTTCCTTCTTCTTATGTTCGAGTATATTTTCGGCTTAAAATATTTACTTTAATTAAATATTATCTCACGCATGCTGCTCGATATTTACTAATTAAAATTTATTAATTTTTATGCTCCATAGATATATTTTTAAAATTAAAGAAAAAATTTATTATCTAATTTTTAGCTGATCAATGGAACTGCACCTGAACGAAGTAATTCTTTACCTTCGTTTCCACAGTCACTGCGGCATTTAAGGAAACAAATAATTGAAGAATTGATGTCAACTGAACGAGATTACGTACATCTCCTTCAGGATTTAGTTGAAGTAAATTATAAATATTTCTCGCTTCAGAATTTCAGGGTTTATGGTTCAGAGTTGAAGTAGTTTTTCATAAATATCGTTTGCTTCTGAATTTAGGATTCATGGGTTCAGAGCTCAAATATTTGGAACGGTATAGTATATATCATATTTTTTTTTCTTTTTCTTTTCTATGTCCTCACCATTACTGGGTTAAACTCGTTCCACTGGCTTGTCACATTGAGCAATATGCCAAGAGGAGATCCCTTGGCGATAGAAATACAGGTGGGTCACCAGCATCACCCGGATTTTTGTACAGGTTTACTCCTGCGGGGAATTAAACCTCAGCATCTCTTAATCGAGCAACAACCCACTGAGCCATTCTATATATCTCCTTTATATTAAATATGCTTTAACTATTAAATTTGTTCATTTTTTTCGAAGATTTTTTATTAAAATTTTTCATTAAAAAAGAAATAACATATCAGAAATTGAATAAAATTTATCTATTTTTTTCAAAGGGTTTCGTTTTTCAAACTCGAAAACGAATTGAAATGTTCTCTTCTGATTGTATACAACGGTTATTTGCTAATATTGAAGCAATTCGTACTTTTCATTGTAAATTTTTACGTGAACTCGAACTATCATTGAATCAGAATCTACTCGAAGATTCTTATATAGGAGCTGTTTTCCTCCGAAATGTTCGTTTCTTAAATTTTCGCCATTATTTTTTACCACTATTTTTGTGCGAATATTGAATTAAATGATGAGAATAGTGAAATTTATTTTTTTCTAATATTTTATACAAAATACAAAATTTCTAATGCAAAATTTTCTAATATTGTTTCTGGTTTGACTCACTCTTTGACCTCAGTAGGAAGGAATACGTGGAAATAGAAGCGCAGTTCCGCAACGGGCACTTGGGTTTCATTTTTTAATGCTATTAGCCAGTTATTAGCACTTATTACGGTTCATTTAATTCATTCCAACTGCCCATAAGCAGTTTTAATCATTAACTATATTATTTAATTTAATAAAACAAAATGAAAAAGGTGGTTAGTTCCCATCATTTCTGTTTGTTCTATAGGTTATTAGTAAGATTGAAAATTTTGCCAGAGAATCATTCGGCGATGGAAATATAGATGAAGTTTTGCTAGAGAATCACCTACTGAAAGATTTTTAATGGTCTCTTGCTGGATGGCAGTAACTTTGATGCTTGATACAGTAATCTGGAGCAATAACCATTTGGCCGATCCTACCTCCTATTCTGTTTCCTATTAACCTGGTAATTAGATATGAAAATATTCCAGAGAGCTGGATTTATGATATATTCAGAATATTGCAATAATCGCCCGATTTCTTGTGCAGAGCTTCTTGCACTTAATGAAAAGCCACATTATCATCAATTCTTCGAGGTACTTTATCGATTTTAATAAACAACCCTATTTTTCTGAGATAGCAAAAATATTGATAAAAACTTTTTTATCAATATTCCTAATTCAATTTGAAATTTTAACTGATGATCAGAAATACAAATGAGTGAATTTTTCGATTCTTTATTGGAAGATTTCAGTAGATGAATTGGTTATCAGTTAGATTCGTCGACAAAAAATTTTTTCTGAAAGCATTTTTTAAAGATTACTTTATTTTAAGGCTTGTCGATTATTGAGAGGAATGCCAAAGCTTTCATTGGAAGGATTTTTATTAACTCCAGTTCAAAGAATATGTAGATATCCATTACAGTTGGCCGAACTGCTCAAGGCGACACCTGTCTCGCATGTTGATCGAGAACCTGTTCAAGTAAAAATTTGTACCGCATTTTCCAACATTTAACTGTTGGCGAATGTACCGTTTAAATAATTATGAAAGGAGGGTTTTCCTGAAGAAAATTTTGCTGGATCTTTCTTCTTATTTTCCGGTTATATTGCCATTAAAACGCAAATTTGTCAATAGTTACAAGGCCGATCGAATTTAACAGAGGGTTTTTAGCGGAAATATAATAATTCCTAAGATATTTTTGACGATGCCAAGAGCTCAATTTTCGCTTTTTTCTACTTTTTGAGCGATTAAATGAATTTGTAATCGAAAATATGGAAAAAAAAATTTTTTTTATTCAGTCTGTCAAAAATACATCTTCTAGTGCCAAGTGACTCGTTGTCAAAAATTTCTAACCGTTCTAACGAACATTCAGATGAGATAGGTTAAGGAAAAATGGCGACTGCTTACTTACTTGCTTACAGAAATAGGTCTACGAAGAAATATCAAAAAATCAACTTGTTAATATCAAAAATATTTACGTTATTCAATTGCTAATTTAAATTACACAATAATTATTTCTTTCCTATTATAATTATTTTTTAATTTATAAAATATTAAGGCGGCAACTACTGCAATGAAAAATATTGCTGCGATGATAAACGAGAAAAAAAGGCGACTTGAAGGTCTACAAAAAATAGCCCTTTGGCAAAAAAATGTCGATGGTTGGCGAGTACTATTTTTTCTCTCTGTTTTTTATAAATTAAAACTTCAACCATAAAATATCCATTTGCAAACTTGTCATCTGTCACAGCCTCTATTGGACATTTATTTAGAATTAGAATTAGATCTAACTTTTTTTGTCCCATTTGGCAATTCGATGAAATCTATGGGAAACTTACGAACTTTTATTTGATTAATATTTTATAACAAATTCGTTATATTAAATAAATCGCATATATTAACAGTAGAAAAAATAAAAAATGATAAAAAAAATTCTATTGATAAAAAAGTCACAGAAAGTGCTACTTCAGTTGTCACCTGCATTCGTGAGTACCAAATTTAGGGACTAGTGAAAACATATATGTAAATATTAAATTTCCTTTTCAAAATTTGAGTGGGCTGATCTTTTCGAGAACTCATAGTTTAGGTTCTTTTTCTATATTCTTATATTTATTAGTTCCATGGATAAATTAAGGGACCTGATTTATTCGAAACGAATAGTCGAATGATTCGCAGTGGTGAAGTATCATGCAGATGCATAATTAATGCTGAAATAGTTTGGCATAAGGATGTTTTATTATTTCTTTTTGATCAGTCAATTGTTATTTGCAAGAAAGATCTCATTAGACGGCATCATTATTTATTCAAGGATCGACTATCGCTAATAAAAGCCAAGTTGATCGATTGTACCGATGGAAGAGGTTAGTTATTCACTATTTTATTACTTACTTTTTACAAATTGCTATTTATCTACTAAATTTACTAAAATTAGTTGTGAAGCTTTGTGAAAAGCCCTAAATAAAATATAGGTGAAAATTTCATAATTTTTTCGTTCCAGAAATTATTTTTGTCCAAAATTCATTAATATGTTTGATTCAACTATAATTATAAATATAATGGAAGAATCTGACTGACAAATGCGATATGATAAATGATAAAAATTTTCTTACAGATAGTCATCTTGGCATAACGTTAAAGAATGCTTGGAAACTTATAACGATGGGTAAGGAATTAATATTTTCATGTAAAGACAAAAATGATAAACGAGAATGGATTGAACAAATATTAAAGAGAGTTGAATGTTCACCACCAACTGCAGAAGAGCGAAGGCTTGTGCGTGACACATTGTGTTCGATATGTAAGTGCCTTAAGTTAACTATTAACTATTAACCAAAAAATCTCTTCCTCTAACAGCACACACCATTTTTGGTTAACCTGTCGACTACTAGGATAAACCTTTCTTCAGATGGTGATGGTCGGGAAAAGTGATGACTGAGAGTACCTAGCTATTATTCGAATTTATCAACATAATTTTCATTTTACTACAATTATTTCTCATTACTGCTCGTAAATATTATATATATTTATTGCAAGAATTCTTTGCCAGTTGTATTGGTACGCAATAACAACATTTATTAATATAGAGTAGTAAAATTTGTAAGTAATATTGTCTCTTTCGGTCCTTAAAATAGGTTCTTATAACTTGTTCATTGAAAAGTGATCACAGAGATTTTTTGCTAGAATGTAACATGGCGATTTACTAATGTCCGAATCAGGGAATTGGACTTTTGACGGTCAATGGGGAAGATGTCGTCCGATTATTCCCTTAATCATTTTTTTAAAGGAATCCTCACCATTAGTGGTTTACTTCTGCATGGAATAGAACCTCAGAATCAGCGCTCAGAATTGAGCAACAACCCACTCAGCCATTCTATTCCCTTAATCATTAAGTACATTCAAAGGATTGCTTGTTTAAACCAACAAAAATCATGAAGATAGGTCATTCGACATCAAAATTACCGATTCGTTAAAAGATTTTTCTATGGAACTGTCTCAATATTTGAAAAAAAGGCAAAGAATTTTAAATGTCATCAAATAACGAGGCGTAAACCTTCTACGTTACTCATACTTTTACCTTATCTCTTCATTTCAGATGCGAAATCCGAAATGGCTCCATTGTATTTGAAGACTTCTGGTCGTTTCTCATGGAAAAAAAATAAGAATTAGGTGGCATTCAAATGCGTTAATTTCTCGAAGTCAGTATATGCAGAAGATTGCTCCACTTGGCTTATAAATGCTAACTTTGTTCGAATAAATTCTATCAAAATTATTATTCTAGAAAATATATTTACAATATATTTAATTTATATAATTAGTAATATCTCAAAGCTTGGAACTTTTAACTTCCTTATTTTCTTTTTTGTATGGAACTTCCTTTTGTAAGTATTAAATAATTTTAATGATTGATGCAAATCAATTAATCAATAATCGATGATTATTAAATTTATTTTTCATATCATTGATTTGTTAACAAAAGTTGTATGAATTCATATAAATGGTTAGCATTCACCATTTCTGGTTAAGTTTACTGCGCTGGCTGTTAGTTCAGCTAGAATTTTTTTTTTGCCAGCGAGTCATTTGACTATAGAAGCATAGATGGATCATCGGAATTACCCGGATTTTTTAATGATATTTTCTGTCAGGTTCGGTGAATCGAACCTACAAATGAATTCATATAAGACAATGAGGACTGAATGGTACCAATAAAAACATATCTTCGTAATCAGTGCAGTACAAAAAGTTTGTAAATTACCGCATAATTTTTATTATAATTATTGTTATTATCTTTATCATTATTATTAATTTCATGTTAATTTAATTTCTAATTATTAATTTCTTTTTTTTCTCCATCCAAAAAGCATTTTCGATAAATTTCGAAATTCATTTAATTTCTTTGAAATAAAAATAATCGAGAAAAAATGACGAAATTTCGACCAAATAATTAATTATTTTTAGAAAATAAAAGGAAAAAATGTATAAAATGTAAGAAATGTATTTAAAATAAGTAAAATTAGCATTGATATTAAATCGACGAAAGCAAATAAACGATGCCAAAGATTTTTATTGAAATCCCTTTCACGCTGTTCATCGTAATATTCGATAAGAGTGCGAATAGCGAAAGTTAAGCCAAGTTGATCAGAAGCTGACTAAACAAATTTGGATAAATTCAAGCCTTTCGCATGGATATGAAATCTATTAATTTTATGATTTTTATAGCTTACACGATTTATGATTTATTGGTGAGTTTCACATTCATAATTTAACAAAATTAAGGCCCTTTTTTATTGCAAATTTTACAAGTCACAAATAAGAATAAATAAGATAACTAATTTTAAAATGTCAAAACTAAATAAAAATCCTCTGAAAAAAAAAATTATGAAAAGAAATGAATTGGCAAACCCGCTGATAATCTTTCTCTTTAGTTAGAAGAGGTTGACACAAAGGGTCCTTACGATTCTTTACGTTGGCGTGAAATAGACCTTGTATCCAAACTGGTGGAGGTTTACAGTGATTCAACGCACGTTCATTGCAAATTAATATGACAGCTGATAAAATGATTGCAAAAATTGATACTCCTGTTTCTATTAATACATATTGACCTAAAGCTTGTAACCATATTTTTTCATAAATGGAAAAAAAATAAAGTAAACCAAATCTGAAAATATAATATAAGGTCATACCTAGTAGTGGTAGGCCGATAGAACTCTTTGGCATTTCACCAGTGACCATACCAAGAACCACCGTCATTGTCAGTAAGGTTGTAAGGCCAAATGAAACCTTCAATTCTCATGAAGTTTATTGAAAAAGTAATAGCATATCTGCTAATATTTTGCAAATAATTGAATAAACCTGATAAATGCCATAAAATAAATGAATGCAACCTTTTCTTCTCGTTCACCATCAGCCGAATGAGGAATAAATAAACCGATTATTGATATGGAAACGATTAAATATGTCGGAATTAGAAGAACCACTATGTAATATAAAGGTTTACGACGTAAAACCTAAAAGTTAGATTTCGTTAAATTAAAATTAAAATTAAAATTGTAAAATTGTAAAATAGACTGTATTTTATTGTAAAATGAAAAATTGCAAAACCGTAAAGATTGTAAAGACTTTTTTGCAAAAATTGTTTAATGATATAATCATATCACAAAAACAATGCAACTTAAGTAGCATATAGCATCAGCGGTACCTAGATTTGGCCAAAGCTTTTAATAGTGTTTCCCAAAGCAAGTTGATGATCACTCTTAATAGCTATGGCATTACTGGGATCCTGTAAAACTGGATTATATAAAAGATCAAATTATATAAAAGATCGTCACCTCCATCACCAAGCTATATGTGTCAATAATATCCTTTCTGACACCTGTTAAATCTGGTGTTCCCCAAGGTAGTTATATTGCACTACTGCTTTTTTTATTATATATAAAAATAATATCACCAAAGTGGTACTAAATTCTACAATTCTATTTGTACTCATGGTAGAACAGATAGCCTATCTCCAGTGCAGAAGGACCTCAAAAGAATAGCCAAATGTCTATATGACAGGCGAATTATTTCTTTCTTTTCAAAAATGTAGCGTTCTTCATATTAATTCTAACGATTTCGTTTTTCTTAATCTTTTTATTATGGTAATATAATCAGTAGAATCTCACATTTCGATCTTAGAATAATTATGGATGAAGATCTCGATTTCGACCTTCACTGCAGTACCATGATAAAGAAATCCTCAAAAATAATAAATTTTATTTTTCGTTCGTTTAAGAACAAAACTGAAGATTTCCTTATCAAAATGTACAAAGCGTTCGTTCGGCCACTTCTTGACTATAATGCTACATATTACTCCTCGAGATATTGTAAATCAAGTAAAATTATTGAAGGACTCCGAAAATATTTTATAGACCCCTCTCTCCTAATAGCAATTTTAATTATTCTTTAATTTTAATCATTATTAAAATAAAAATTCTATAATACAACAATAACTTGGATTCTCTCTAAGTTCTTCGAATTAAGCAAGATTTGATTTATACTTATAAGATTCTGTATGGTTATGTTAAACTTGATTGATTCAAAATTCGTTCTATTAATTACTGGAATAAATTACCGAACGATATAGCTTCACCCCCAGCTATCTTTAAAAAAAAAATTAGATAATATCATTTATGATTTTATTTAAAAAGTGCAGGAAGTGTGAAATCAAATCTCGATTTCTACCATTCGATTATATATAATAGTTACTTCGAATTGTACTATTTTTTTGTAATTTCTTCTTTATTTTCTCTTTACATTGTTAATTTTTGTTATATTTTCTTTTTATTTTTTTATTATTAATTATTATTTTTTATTCTAACTGTTGTTATTAATACAAGCACATGGCGTTTGCCGCCCTGCTTGCCTAGTTTTCAATGAATAAAAGGAATTATTCCTATCAAAAATATGTCTTTGTTGTCCAAAAATTCCTTTCTCATATGGGTTTAAAGGATAGAAAAAAAGAGCTTTAATTATTTTCAGAGACATCGGATTGGGAGGCCTAGAAATGTTTCAGCCTCGTAAATGGAAAATTCGTTGATAATTAAGTAGAAAAAATAGATATAGAATAAATATAGATATGAACAGACATACAATTGTGTAGATGATTTCTTCATATTCGTTGATATTATCACCTTGTGAACTTTCGTAAGCAGTTTGAACTTTTTTTGATGAGAAAGATTCGATTTGCCACTCAGAATTTTCCTAAAAACTTTTGAAAGCTCAATGGAAATGAAAAACAATGAGAAAATTGAATAATGATCGATATGACATATTTTCGATCTGATAAGAGTTTTGAAGAGCTAATCAAGATTGCAGGCTCGACCTTGCCAGGTTAAAGATTCCAGGCCTTTCAAAATACTTATGAGAAGGACAAATGGGAAATCTGATTTAATTTACCGTACGAAGTTGCATTTTTTTTTCCAACTTTCACTAAGTTCCAACAATTTCCTATTTCAATGCTTCCCTCTAGTGAATCTAAAATGAATAAATATTTTTTTATGAATAAAATGGTTTTAATTATCACTGACACTGGTTTCAGGAATGATAACAGCACTTTTGACATTATGAGTTAGTTGATGAAGCTGAAATCCCCACGAACCGAATTGTATTTTACAAAATTGTAAGTCGAATGGAAAATTGCGAACGTCCATCGGGCATCGAATGCTCACCAACTAAAAACATTAATTTATTAAATTATTCCATAATCTAAATATCCAAACTATTTTATATCCATATTAAATTATTTCAGTATTCCATAATATGAATTACAAAATATAAGGTTATTTATCAATAGCTTTTTAAATACTTAAATACTTAGATTTATGATAAGCGTTTTCATCAACTGTAGTGTTTTAAATTATTTTTAAATACTTTTGGCTTACTTTATTAAAGTCAACTTCAACTTGGCCATGAGATGTGATTCTGGCATATGTTTGTGATAAAGAAAGAATTTCTTTAACATCGACACTAAACGTTTTTCACCGAAAATAAAAAATCGAAAATTGAAAATTCATTTTTTATTATTTGAATTTGAATATTATTTTTGACCATTAACGAAATATCAGATATTTTAAATGATATTTAAAATAATAATTTTTTATAAATTAAATTTATATTATTATTTTAAATTATTTAAATTTAAATTTAAATTATTTAAATAATTATTATTTAAATAATTAAATAATAATTATTATTTAATTATTTTATTTAAATTTATATTATTACTTAAATTTATAGTAAAATTATAAAAAAATAATTATAAAAAAATATATTAATAATAAAATTATATTAAATTATATTATATTATATTAATTAAATTATAATAATTATAAAATTATAAAAATAATTATAAAAAAATAATAAAACTAATTTAGATATTTAAATATATGAAATAATCACCACATTGAAACATGGAATATAGAAAATAAAGAACATATATGGAAAACTTTCAAACGAATGGGTAAATTTTCGTTCTTTTTCTTTCTAAGAATTTCCATTTAGCTACGAGATATTTCTGATTGGGCTCACTCCATTAGCTTTTAGGGCTAAAGGAATTTGAGCCAATGATCATTGAAATGAGTTCCGGATTTTTGCAAGATAGGTTTATTCCTGCTGGAAATAGAACCCTATCATCAGCACTTCTAAATATAAAACCCATTCTGTCCTTAGATTTTTTTTTTTAAATTTTCATCATTACTGGTTATTCTCGCTCCGCTCGCTTATCGCATTGGACAAATATGCCGGAGAATCCATTGGCGATAGAAACACAGGTGAATCGCCAACTTCACCCGGACAGGTTTACTCCGGCGGGGAATAAAACTTTAGCATCGGCAACAAATTGAACAACAACCCACTAAGCCAATCCTTTGATTGAATAATCCTTAGATATTAATATATTTAAAAGATTTCGGCAAAAAATCAAAACATATTAAAGATTGTTCCATCTGGAATCCAAATATATTCAGCGGGTATGTTGATTTTCGAAATGCCTTCCCATTCGTCTTCATTCCAAACGAGATATTCATCTTTCCAGCTTTGTGGAATCCATAATAGTAACGTTAGCTGCTCGCTTACTTCATCCTAAATTTCAGTACGCATTAGGAAGTGTTCGCCTAGTTTTAAATTTTTTTCGCTAGCTTCTTGAAATTCTATGATATTTTAGGCGATTTTTCAGGCCGTCTTCTAATAGATTTTGCTTTATTAATATGAAATACTACTGGTACCACTAGTAACTTCTATAAAATATTTCTCGGTAAGACGGTCTGCTTCAGCTCCATGGAACATTCAACATGATCCATGAAAGGTGTAAATCTGCCATTAAGAGTAAAATCCTGGCGGAGAGACAACCACCAAACTTCTCTCCTCAAATGGCTAAACAGTCATCTTAAAATCATTATCAGCAGTGGAATCGACTAAATCAAAAATGGCACATTCTGTCGCAAATATTTGGAAAGCGATGGAAGAAGAAAACGTACGACGTCGATTAAACTATAAAGGTGTATTTGAATAGTGATCGTCATCGATGAATTCCAATATTTTGTCGGTCGAATTCTACGATCATAATTTTTTAAAAGATATCCAACTAAATCTTTTTCAGTTTTCTGTGCCAATAACCCTAAAATTTAAATGAAAATATCGAAAATTTTGAAAAAAAATTAAAAAAATTTTAATATAAAGTAAACTAACATTGTAAAATTAATAAAGAAAAAAGCACAAAATAATGAAACGTTTTCATAAAATTTTTCTGGTAAAAATGCGAATATTAAAATCGTTTATATTTGATTAAATTCGTTATAAAAATCGGCAAATTCGACAAAATATTTTATTGTATTTGGTTCGTTTAATTTTCAACGTTTCATTGCTTTCATAATTTCCCTATAAAAATAGAATTTTGAAAGAATTTTTTCATCAACCTACATCATAGCAATTAGTATTTTCCATAGTGTTTTCCATGATCCATGAAAAAATTTCCATGAAAAATTCTTTCATTTCAATTGAATTGATCGAAAATTGTTATATTATTCAGTGATAGATGAGTCCTATAAGTCGCTGGCTACTTCATCTTCTTATGGAAATTTCAGTGGTACCAAAAGGTTATTAGAAAGGAAAAAAAATTTACAAAATTTTGTTAGGAACGTTAATGTATCCGAAAAAATGAAACGTTAAAAAAAACCATTACGTACCGTTTCCAATTTGGTTGCAACCACTGCACGGGTGGGCTAAGGACCCTTCACTAGAGAACCATTTGGTTTAGATGTGCAATTCAATTCGGTTCCATCAATAGCCTTCTTTGTATGATTGAATAAGCATCGAGTATTTTACAAAATACTCGAAATACTCGAGTATTTTTATATTTATTTAATATTAATTGCAATGATCAAAATAAGAATTTCAAAACAATTTTATTCAACTTCTTTTACCATAAAGCGTCAAACATATTAAATGGAACACATAATAAATGATACAATTCGATGCATAAATGAAAAAAATCATAAACATTTTGATGCGTAAGAAAACATTTGATTTGAGAAAATGATATTTTACAAAAACTATGATTATAGGGTTGTCGAAATTCGGAATCAAAATTTGCTGAAAAGACCTGTTTATGGAAATTACGAAAGTTTACAAAGATTATTGACGGAATTCACAGTTTTATTATTATTTTTCCACTTTTCTATTGCTCTTTTATACTGCTGATAATAGCAAATGAATAACATATAATATGTTCAACTCGAAGAAATACTTTAATCTTATCACATATCATATTTGAATATTAACATTTTATTATTCGCTGGCATATCGTGTATCGAAATTAGCGATAAACCATTGCAAGATGCTTTCTAAAATCAAATTTGATTTAATACTTTTGAAAAAAACTCTGCCATCTAAAGAATATGAGGTTTAATTTACAATTTCATCCATTGAATCTTCTTTTAAATTTTTAAAATGAAGAAAATGCGACAATTTAAAGAAAAATTACCTGCTTTAGTTCTGCTATATCTCTCAATCCCCATTCTGAATTACTTGCCCGCAAACCTGAATCAAAATCCACATTACTCTGGGGTGTTATCTGACCGTCAGCAGCATAAGCACCATACGTTATAAGTTTTCCTGTTCCGTGCTTAAGTAGGGCCTTTGATACCTATGATTAATTAATGTTAATGATTAAACCAATTTTACTTGAAAAAAGAGGCATTTAAACAATAAATTTTGATAAATTTGCTTTCATCACAGATATGAAATTGAAAATTGAAATATTAAAAAATTGAAGCTTGTTAAAACTAAATTTAACAAATTTAATAAAAAATATACCATGAAAAGACCATCGACAGCAGCATTTGAGCTTATGTGGATTAAATTTATACTTAGAACTATATCAATTTGATAACGAAAATCTTTTGGCAAAATGGAATGATCCAGAGGCTTAGAAACATCAAAAATTATCGGTTCGAGCAAATTAGGCAACTGAAATTGTTTTTTATGCAATTTTTACCATAAATTTAATTTTAAACTTGAATAAAATTTAAAAATCTTAAAATCTCCAGTGAACAATCTAATTTTGAAGGGCAAGAAAAATAAATTTAAATCATATTAGGCCAGATAATCACTTGAAAACACAAGCTAGTCCACAACGCCCCTAATATTTCAATTTTTCTGCCTACCGAATCCGTACCATTCAACTAAACTTACTGTAAATAAAATTCAGCTTTAATATTTTTTGAAAATTGTCGATCATTTCTTGTCAATCAAAGATTATAGATAAAAAAACCTTAAATTTCTCTCGATAAGCGTTAATCGAACTGATATAGGATGGATCGATTTCAGAAGGTTGAATAATTAAATTTGGAAAATGTGAAGCAAAATAATACGCATGTTGACCCGAGCCGGAAGCGATTTCGAAAAGCCAAAATGAATACTCTGATTAATTAGTGAAAAAGTCCGTTAAAACTGATAGATAAATTTCTTCAAAATGCAAATATATAAATCAAAAAAATGCAAATCTCCGAAATTTTCTCGGAACAAAATTTAAATAGTCGCCCAATTCTTGTTTATCACATATCACTATATGCTCTTATCATATGATTGCAAATGATTTCAATAAGGAAGCACGATAATCCGCATAAGATAAATAATAAGCTTAAACGGCGACAAAAAGAAATGGCTTTGGCTAATTTTCGGTTATTGCGTTTAACTGAAAAGTTCAGAAATGTCTCTCACTTTTGTAATACGCAGAAATGGCTGAAATAAAAAAGAAGAAAAATTATTTTAGGAAAAAAGTGTAAAAATTCTTACTTTCGTTGGAGATGAATTAATATAATCTTGAAGAACTTTTAAAATTGGCTGGCGATTTCGTTCGGCTGCAGCCACACGAAGCATATTTCTCGATTATTCGATTCTTATTTTAATAGTAATTATTAATAATTATTAATAATAATTAGTCGTTAAATCCAACTAAAATTTATCGCCTGAAATATTAATCGATAAGAAAAAAGCTATAAAAAAATGATAAAAATATAAGAAATCATTTAGAACGCATGATTTGGCTGGTTTTAAAGATTTAAGAAACTGAAGAAATTCAAATGACTGGCGGAGTCACTCTGTTGAAATATAGAAACATAGACTATTAGGTGAAACAACAATTAAAAGAAGCCAAACGAAATAGGCTTATTGAAAGAGGAGAGATAAAACAGGTCAGCCAAACTAGTAGAGAAAAAATATAGCGAAAGAAGGGGATACGCTGATTGCGATGAACCTTTTTTTCTGAGAACGCCGCCGGTCAAGATCGTTCTCTCGCTCTCTGTTCACTTGTCCGACCAAAAACTCACCTAGAAGTGAGTCGCTGGTACCATACGGCAGGTTCACTCTTTTTGAAAGACATGTCTTGCAAGAACAAAATTCCAGTATCAACGCTTCGAAATGAATGCAATAATCTTTTCAGCCCATTCTATTTTCCAATCGGTAATAGAGTTGAAAAAAAAAGAATATCCCAAAATAGACTTAAGAAAAGACTAGAAAAAAAGAGCAGTAATAAAGCCAAAAATTCAACAAATATTCAACATAACTGATCAGATTAACAACCCCCTTCCTCCTCTCCTCTTCCTCCTCACCCTCCTCCTCCTCCTCCTCCCCTCCCTGATTATTCAACGCGACGAGTTTCTGGCTTATCGACCTGGTACCACAATTAACTGAAGTGAGAAGTGCGACCCACTTTCCTATTATCTATGAGCCAATATTCCAACAACCTAAGATCATATGAGGAAACCAATAGAATACAAAAAAAATACTCCAAAAAATCTAAGATTCGCTCGGACGAACTTTTCGTTGTACGAAGCTTACCAGAAAAGGTGGAACGTGGACGAGAAGGTAGCTGAACTCGCGACAGACCGCGTCGCACATTGATAAACAGGGAAATATTCAGGAAAAGTCGCGAATAATTCAAAGTTATGGGTAATTATTTTTATTTCGTTTCTTGCAAGTTGCTTTTTTTGTGGCTTTTTTAAGGTGAAATGGGCTTTGGGCCCGCAATTTGGCCTCAGTTCGCCGTTTTTGCCGAAGACGTCGCTGTTTTTGTCATTGTCACTCGCCGTTTTTTCTCACCGACGATGCCACTTTTCCCATAGTTAATAACTAATTTTTTGGAATTTTTGCAATAATTTTAGTTATTTACAAGTGAAAGCGGTGAGGGAAGCGATTTGTCTCTTTTAGCAGCGCCGACTGCAATGTTTCTTTCAACGAGGCAATTGTGAATTTATTTAATTTCAGTGCGTTGTAATTAGAAATTAATAAGTAATAATTAGTAATAATTTAGTAAAATACGATAAAATTTTGGACAAATAATAATTTTTCTCTAACGCTGTGAATTCTGTGCGAATTTTTATTGGGGAGAGGTGGTAGGCAGAATTTCAGTGGCTTCAGTTGTGAGCCTTTGCTGAAGTTAACTGATTTGACTTATTGATTTGTCTGAGGAAGCGACGAATTGTCTTTGTGTACGAGTCGTGGGCAAATGAACGTTCCATTCGAAGAAAATATCTGAAAGTTAGATTCTAAAGCTGATTTGTGTACTCCAATTTATAAGCCATAGTGAAGAGTTGACAGAGTTAAAAGAAACGTAGCCTTACAAATAGTTGGGCTAATAAGCGAACTTTGTCGGTCTGTTGAAGGATTCGCCTTTGCTATTCATATTTTTTCGCATCAATTTTTATGATTTATAATTCCGAGAAGGAAAAGAAATAAGAAAATTGCATGGATTGGGTGCAGAACTTTTGCAGCAAAAATAATCAGATATTTTAAAATAGTGCTCGAATTTAAAAATAATAATTAATAATAGTAATAATGATAAAATAATAATGAATAATAGTAATATTGATAGTAATAATAATAATGAATTCGAATGATTTTAAGATTTAAGGCATTCCATTCGTGAGGCAATATGGCCAGGTAAATTGTGGTTTAGATTCTCAGATTATTATTGAGAGACAAGAGTTCGCTTTCTGCAGATGGGAGTAGCTTTGTTAGAAAAATTCGCACCTGTACTTCCAGTGACACATTTGTACGTCTATCACTAAGAGATTTCTTGGCAATAATTTCTAATCCTGGTAGCAAGCGGAGGTAATCTAACCAGAAAGGAATGACACCAAGCATTTTTGTACTTACTAAATTTTTATTCTTGTTTTTACTATTTATTTGTTTTATTATTTATTTTCAATTCTCAAGTTATTATCATAATCATCTATTAGAAAAATTCCTTCAAGTTAAACAGTTAATGCATTTATACCAAATCAAGAAAAAAATTACTCATTTGAGCAATTTTTCGTTAAATGAAATTTTGAAATTCTTAAGACAAATAGTTTCTGTTCATATATGGTTTTTCTTTTCAAGAATTTTTAACCTTAACAAATTAAAGGAAAATTTTTTTACGTTTATGTTCACGTTTTGTTTTAGAGAATAAATTACATATATTTAGATGTTCGCCGTAATTTTGCTTCAAATAAACTTTTTATGTCAGTTGGAAACAGCAGTTCAGTTCATCTACCAATCAGAGATAGTCCGATCGTTTCAAAATCTGAAGAATTTCCTTCTACCTATTCTGATGATCAGATATTTGCCGGTACCAATGTTGATATGCTTCAAAATGTGAATTTTAATTTTATAATTTATAAAATATATTTATTTAATTTATAAAATTAAAAAAATTATTTTAGAAACGTTTATAAAATATAAGACCGCGAAGGAATTTATGAAATGATGGGTAATAAATTTTTAAATTTTTAGCTGATGATAATTAAATTTTAAATTTACATTAATTTATTAGGTTGATATCGACAATGCTGGAATTGAAATGGTAGAGGAGGATACAATCGGGCGAGTGGTCCAAGGTGATGATGGTGAATATTACATTGTTGTGGAGGATGGTTCTGATGGTGATAAATTTTTCATAAATTGAATTTTTCTTATTTAAAGTTGTATAATTATTCAATTTAGCTGGTGTTGCTAATGAATTATAAAAAACAGCTGTAAAAAGGTTAAAAATTATGATGAACCACGTTAATTGTTTTGCACATTTGCATATTAGGAGATTAATTTATTAGGAGATTGAGCGATAAAAAAAAATATTTAACTTATTTGATATTAAATATTTATATTTTATTCAGATTTCATTCAGATCTCAAGTTTCAAGTCAAGTGGTAATAAATTTGATACATTTTATAATAATTAATTATTTTTTAGAATTACAACAGATAAACAATGCTCAGACAATAGCGAATGATGATAGGGTTAATACAGTAATACTCGCGAATAATCAGCCGTACATTGTCTCATCTGAAGGTAATTTTCTAATCTAAAAGTATTTATTATTTATTAAAATTATCTATAATTTTTTAAAATTTTAATTTAATTTAGTTATTTTAATTTAGTTATTTACTATTTGAAAGAAAATTGATTCAATATAATTATTAAGTTTAAAATTCATAAAAACTATAGATTCAAAAATTATCACCATTTTGATTAAGGGAACCATAATGACAACAGTGGAAGATGTACACAGCAATCTCATGCTGCTATGGCAGAAACGGAAGGTGGTGGTTATGAGATGGTGCAAATAATAGATGAACTAGAACATGTGGGAGCAACAACAACTGCACAAGATTTGCTAACAACACCTGATTCTGGTCCGCATGGGTTTAAATTAAGGCGGTATGTTTATATCGTTTTTTATTTTTGTCTTATTTATTATTATATTAATATTTATTCGATTAGAGAATTTATAATGTATTGTGCTTTTATTGTCGTTATCAAACGAAAATTTACATTTAGAGCAAAGAAATTCTTCATTTAAAAAATATTTCAAACTTTTTATTTTTAATATATTGTTTATTAATTTTTTATTTTTCTTTATAATATTGTTTTTTAAGTTTTCGGGTGCAAATTTTCTTTGTACTGAATGATTGAAAGAATTTTAGAAATCGAGTATATGGTATGTGTCGTTGTCCAGAGTGTGGGCAATCTTTTGTGAATACTGCTAGGTTGGAAAGGCATCTTGCCGTCCATCAGGTTAATTTAAAATGAGGATTTTTTTTCTCTATTTTTGTTCTCTGTGATTTATACTCGAAATGTTGGTGCATAAGAAAAAATTTTCTTCAGTTTGTTATAATTTTATAAATTTTTCTGCATCAGTACAAGATCCATAATGTTAATATTTAAATTATCAAATTTAAATTGTTGATTATTAAATGTTATCTTTCAATAATAATTTTTTTTTTCCAAGAGCTCCCATTTCTTTAGTTCACTTTATTGGTTTGTCGAATGAGATAAATTTTGCCAGAGTTACATGGCAATAAAAGGTATTTGTCAATATCACTCTGTTTTTGAAAGGCTCGTTTAATATTGCCACGAATAAAAACACAGCATTAGCGCACCGAAATGTGAGCAAAGCAACAATCCACTTAGCTCTTTTATTCTGATGATTAATTATGATCAGTTATTTATCAGTTAGTTATCAGTTGTTTTATTAAAACAAAGCTGAATTCAGGTTTTTGGATCTTACGTATGCCCAATGTGTGGAAAATCGTACAAATATGAGTATAATTTATTTTACCACTGGAGAAGAACATGTAGAGAACTATTCGAATTATTATCTGCAGAGGAACGGAAAGTATATTCATTTTTTTTGTTTATTTTTATTATAAATTTTATATATTTTTTTGGAGGTTTAAATCTTTGCAGACCATGGATGTTAATTCTCTCAAAACGTTTGTGGATAGTGTGTCGCTAAAAAAAGCAGATGTTGCACCCACTCAGTTGGGTATTAATCGAAAGATGTTATATGATTCCTCACAATTAAATCGTATCGAATTTGGAAACGGTTCATTTTTTTATTTATCTCAATAATAAAGAAAAAATTTTTTGATGCTTTCTTTGATTGATAAAAAATTTATTTAAAAATTTACTATAATTATTAAACGTTTATGGTTGCATTTCCATTTTTTTGAAAGTTTATGGTTGCATTTCTTCATATTCTTTAGCTGGCAGAGGCAACACATGTAATCTGTGTGGTATAGTCATTTTGGCCTCTCATATAGCACGCCATAAAGCTGTTCATCGAGGAGAAGCTGGTGTTGATGAAAGGAGTGTGTCTGGTGGTTTTTTTTGTGATCTTTGTGGGCTCATGTTTCGTCAACATTTTAATTTGCTAAAACATTGGAGAACCGGATGTCCAGAAATCCAGGTGAATTTGTATGGAATTAATATATTTTTAATTGTAAAATTCAAACAAGAAAGGACTGTTTGATGAGAAATGCTATTTTAAATATATTCCAGGCTTGCTTACCGGATAATCAAGAAATTTCAATGGATGATAATGATTTGAAACAAATGGTTTCTATTTTAATGAAGAGATGTAATGATGGTATGGTTCACATTAATTAAATGCCAGTCTTATATTTTTGCATATCTAAGGACTTTTCGTTAAATTAAGAGATTAAACCGGCCTGATAGGAAGTTGCAGGAAAATAACAAATAATAACATTCACAATAATTATCGTAAAAAATATATTCGTTTTTATATTTTAGTGTGGTATAATTTAATATTTTATTTAAAGGTTCGCGGCTGTATAATAATTCTGATGTATTGAAAATGACTCTGTCGTCTCGAGAAAAGGCTAGCATTCCTCCAGTCTAATTATTTTCTAAATTTTTTTATCGAATTACATTTTCTTTTAGAAATGTGAAATTGAATTAGCCTGTTTCTCCTTCTAATTAAATTGTTTCATTTCATTCTTCAAGTTGAGAAATGGTGAATTTTAATTTTCTTTAAATAATTTTAATTAATTTAGTTAATTTTCTTTAGTTCACTGGAGATAGTCATTGCTCAGATTTGAACACTTATCTCACAAAATCAACCAACGATCGAAAATTATCTGGTTCGACTAAACAAGATAATAACATTGATCGAGGTGACAATCGCATTACCGTACAACAAAGTGATGATTTTTATAATTTGGCTGATAACAGATGGAATGATGAGCAGGTATAGGAATTCTAACATTTTCTGTGGATATTTCACTTCGAATTGCATTTTTTAAAATTGCATTAGATTTTGTAAATATTTTTATATTTTAATGCCTATCGTAATTATTTTTTAATTATTTTATATGATTTGCAGTTTTATGGAATTTCGACAAACAATTTTGCTTATTCTCTACTCTCTGAAATATTTCTATGTTTTATGTTATATTTATTATATATTATTATATTTTTATATTTCAGGATTTCTATCTCTCGACCGATTTTATAAACAGTGATGAAGCAGTCATAACTGAAGCAGAAGATGAGACAATGGGCCCAGTTAATTCTAGCGAATCAAATAATCGTCCAAAGTGGTCGATGAGTGGTCCTGTTCAATGTTCTGAATGTTTTCGAACATTTGCTACTTCAAGAAGGTCAATTTCTTAAAAAAAAAATGATTCAATTTTTTGCAACATTAATTTTTTATTATTGTAGTCTATTTCTTAGGTTAATGTGTTTTCAAAGTATGATTTAAAAAAATTAAGGCATGGTATTGCTTGAATAGTAGTTTCAGGCTCGAAAGACATTTAGCAGGTTTTCATGCTTCATTTGGTAGTCATCACTGCATACTTTGTGGCAGTCGTTTTAAATATGATTATAACTTATTGTATCACTATCGTCGGTCGTGCCCATATACGAAAGTTTATATCGATTACGATATCCGTGAACAGGTTTCACTTATTTAATCACTTATGAGTTATATATTGATATTGAGTATTCTATGCAAAACAGTGTAGAATTCTGTCTAGGTTGATGCATCAAATCTCAGAAAAATGGTTCGAGCTTTGTCACAGAAAGAACTTAGATTGTATCATCCAAATTCTTTACGATCTTCGCTTCATGATCCATGCGAAACTTTTGGTAGTAGAAGACAATTGTTACGTTATCCAACGCCTTTAAGCAAGCCGCCTCCTCATCTGCTTCTTCCAAGACCTGGATTAAGTGATGGACAGTCATGTCCAGTCTGTGGTTAGTCTCTCACTTTTTATAGGTCACCGCCTTTTTAATTTTTCCTAATTTCAAATTTGAATTTTTAGCTATTATTTTTTACGGCAGTACCGCAGTGGAGAGACATATCAAGGCTGCTCATCCCCTAGAATGGGAGGATTATAACAACAGAAAGAAGGACATTAATATTGATGAAAAGAAATCGAAAGTTATTAAAAGTAATTCCTTATCGATTTTCTTCTAATAAAAATTAACATATTTTTTTTATTTTTATTTGATGAAAAATATTCAGGTAGTGAAATTGATGAAGGAAGATCTCCTATCGAATCAGATGAACGAGAATCACCTCCTACACTCGTTGCTGAAAAACCCATTGACCAGGTTATGGCAGAAAATATTTTGGGATTTGCCGGTTTATATCTGCGTGGAACATATGAATCTTTTCGCCTAATGATTCTTTTTTTTCAGCCAGCTCCACCTTGTCCAGTTATTAGAAAAGCGCATCAAATTGATATTGATGAACATGGCAGTCGGCGATTGATTGATGAAAATGGCGATGTGGTTCATTTCTTTTTAGATATTGCTATAATAATTATTTTTTCTTATAACGCATTATATTCTCTTAGTACCTTTGAACATGAAGTTTTCAGAGTAATCACTTCAAAAACATTAACTTTCCATATGATCCTATAGTTTATAGTATCTATAGTTTAAAAAATTTTTCATAGATCGAAGTCGCCGATGGGGAAGAAATCCGTGTTCAAGTCGATGATTTGAATGGCGTTGAACAGTTGATTGCTGATGGTAGATTACAAGTCCAACTTGGAAATCAAATAAATCAAATAATAATAGTCCAGAACAATGTATATATATATAATAATTTTATAAATCATTTTTCTATTCTCTGATAGTGTGAAGATTGGAAGTGTTGAATGTTTTCCCATTTTTCCCAGTGAACGGTGAAAGATTCATTCGTGACTCCATCTACAGGTGGTAGTCTGGAGAAAATTGGTTAAACTTATAGTCAATAGTCAATGGGACCAGCTAAGCTAAAAATGGTCCAGAAGAAAAAATCACTTTGATTTCTTCATTATTGTCGTTGTATCAATTTTTTATTCTTAATTGTTCTGCTAATTTATAATTTCTGTTTCATATTATCATGCAGCTAAAGATTATCTGCAAATTTTATTAGAGCTGTGGATTTTCGATGATAATTAGTTTTTTCAGGACTTGGATGAATACAATAGCAGAATGGATAATACACACGAGATGCATCGGGAATTCATTGGATCAGATACTTTTGATGATGGCGCCGAATCTAGTGCGGGTCCACAGCAGATCAGAATGGGAAATCAAGTGATAGTAAATCGGTTCATTTCAAAGGATGGTAAACAATATGGAGGTCTGACTTTTCTATTTACCTTTTACCACTGCAATTCCATACAGTAAATATTCTGTTGTCTTGTTTCTTGGTGGTTTGGTATTCTTCATTCTATTTTTTAAATTTTTAAATTGCAAACTCAGTTTTTTATTTTAATTTGTCGCTTTTAAATCTTAGTTTAAGTCTTTATAAATTCATTAAGATTCTTTGAAGATGAGGGACTCGAAGTCGCCACAATTTTAAGCAAAATGAAGCGCGAGGAATCGGTTCGAGCTGATAGCGACACTTTCGCTCGATCTCCATCAAGACTGCAACTTCTCAGCAATCAAGAGCACGTAATTTTTTTCCATTATCTTATTTCTCCATTATCTTATAATTCCTATTTTCTTTCTGAAGGAAATCATTTTCATAAGCAAAATTTTTATAAAATTTTTGTCATCTATTTAAATCTTTTTTTCCAATATTTCCAATCTATTTGGAAAATTTGTTTCAAATTTACTTTTTTTTGTTAGGTGATCGAAGGGAAGGAAGCAGCTCAGACAGCTGAATATGGTAATGCTTTTGAGCGACGAGAAGTACATCTGCGCAATTTAAGGCAAAAAAGATTTGTTAAAGTAATTTTTGTTGTTTCACTTTAAGTTTTCGATTATTTTTCTTTTATTTTGATAATTTTTTTATAGAATGACGATTTTGGTGCCATGCATCATGTTTTAATGCAACAGCATCGACAGCGTAAGGAATGAAAATGATGGTTTCTTTCCATTTATATAAAAGATAAATAAAAGATACTCAGAATATGGATTGATTTTTGGTATTAGAAATGTGGTTATCATAAAATGAATGAGGATTTCTATATGAGGATTTCAGATGTGCAGGAAAGGGGAGAGTTTGCCGAAAAGAATTCATTGTTCGCTTAAAACATCTCATGAATTCAACATAATGATAGATTGAATATGGAAAATGTGAAGATATATTGCAATAATATCTAGAATTATTTGTGTAAAGTTCTTTCATCACTTTTGTAATCTATTTTTCTCCCCAGTTTTTTTCTTATATTATGTTTTTTATATTTTTTATTTTGGTATTTGTATTATATTTACGAAATTTTTGTTTTTTCTGGCCTTCGTTTACTTGAACAATATAATTAATTAGCCTGTTATGAGAACCGTCTAGATTGGCATGAGAATCATAATTGAAACGAATTTCAACTTCTAAATAAAATAATAGTAGATATTATATAGCAATTTAGCAGTCAATTTTTATATTTCACCATATTTAATTTTTATGATTTACATTTATTCCATTTATTCGATTTTAATTTTTTTCGATTTTTTTGATCAATCTTTTTTTAAATTCCAAGTTTTTATATTTCGAAATAAAATGATTTATTCTTTACGTTCTATTTTTACAATTGCAGTTTGCGGTTAATTCTGGACTAATTTTCCTTATTACACTAAAATATATTGTGGAAAAAGGAGAGTTTTCTTGTGAAACCGTAAATAATGTTTGGAGATACGATGGGGACTAGTTATGGGAGTACTTTGGTTATTGCTGATTTTGATTTGAGTTTAGTTTAGTTTGTAAAGTTCTGTTGATAAGTCAATCCATCCATTCTAAATCGACTTATAGAGAGGCATCGTTAATTAAAAGGTATTTGCCGTTTTTTGTTAATTCATTATAATTTACAATTGCAGCACATTCTCACTAAACGTGATTCGAGATTTTCCGGTCAAATTTAATTAAATTGGTCATCTAACGAATGATTTAACAACTAATAGGTTGAATCGAGTAAATTCATTTTAATTCATGAAAAATTGTATGGGCGAAAATATGTTTAACGATGAAACAAAGGAGAAGCAACAAGCCGGTGTGGATTTTTCAGCTGCTGGTGAAGATTCCTTTTCTAATCTTTATGAATTACCGTTAAATCGAATAAAGAGGATTATGCAGAATAACTCGGAGGAGGTACACATTTCAAACGAAGGATTATTTGCGATGTCGAAGGCAGCGGTTAGTGCTTATTATTATTTAAAATTCAATTTATAGAGTGTGGCATCTCTCTCTCTCTCTCGTTGGTCCATATTTTTACTTTCTTTTTAAAAGAATGATGCTGCAGTAGACGATTTCATTTTGAACGAATCATATGCTGCAGTATATATTTGCATGTATCGTATTGTTTTTAAAGTCATTTATTTCCCTCATGTAACATTTTTTCTTTCTGAAAATTTCTTACTTTGAATTAATGAATTATTTTCGCAGGAATTATTTATCAGTCGTTTGTCGCAAGAAGCCTATCAAATAAATAATATGCCAAAAGTTCTCGATTATTCGCATTTAGCGAATTATGTGCAGAATTGCAGCGAACTGAATTATCTTCATGGTTTCTTATCTTTTGCTTACAATAAAATTATTTTAATTTATATTCGATACTGACTAAAATCTGTTTTCGCCTCCATGTTTTGGTCCTTATTAGAATCTCTAATGCTCTTTAATTCTTTCCTCGTTCAAATATAAGATAATGGAAAATTGTAAAGCGAACTGCACTTTAAACATTTTAAAGTCATTATTATTTGTGGGTTTCTGTATTTCTTTGCTTATTTAGGCGATTTTTTAGATATGATTCCTCGAATGGTAAAATTGAAGGATGTAATGCATTTACTACCAACGGAAGATGAAATAAACATGAGCTAAAATGGTTTTAAAGTGTTCTTCCTCTTCTATTATAATGGCAATTCTTTGCAAAAATATTTAATTGAAGAAATTAAATATCCCAAATTTCATCGTGGATGATTTCAAAATAAGTAGAAACCACGATGTGGTGGAGACTTCATTTTTTGGTGAAAATTATTATGAATCATTTTCAAAATTTACAAAGCAAAAAATTATATGTGAACCTTTGGTTTATTAATATCTGGTTGATTTATAATGTTAGTCTGTGATGTACTGATGATATATGCATTAGTCTGCGTTTGGCCCACCGATATTCTCATACTGCTACTCTTCTGTGGTGAAGCTGGTTTATCAATCTCTCTGGTCTGCTTATATCCTCTAAATAGGACAAGAAACATCATTTGTTTCTAATATTGAACAAAAAAATTTTGTAAAATATGATAAAAAATATGATAAAAAATTTTAAAAAAAGATAGTACTTTGTGCTGGTGTTGATAGCTGTGAATTAAAACAGTGGACTAGGCATGGTGGCAAACTGTGGTATTTGTTTCACAAAAATTTAGATAGCATTTGCACCTACAGAAATTTTGAGGGGCTGTTGGGTTTTCTTAAAAATAGAAAATAAAACAACCCATTAGTTATTGCTCTAATGAAGAAATCGTAGGACATAGTATTATTTTTATAGATAGTTTTACACAAATTCAATATTCTGCAACCTCTGATAATATTGAAATTCGAATATAAGTCATATTACTTGTTGCAATTAAAATTTATATAAGCAAATAAAACTTCAGGTTTATACTTAATGAAGAATAAGGGATTAGACGATGTAGAAGACATTTCTATGGATTTTCAACGAGGTGAAGAATAAACTATATCGTATTCTAGGTATGGGCGATAAAATGTTTTATATATGTTGTTCAGGAAATTGTCTCACTGATTGTTAAATGCCCTCTGCTTAAGGTTCGAAATTTTAAAGAATTTTTTGAAGAGAGGATATGATTGCCGTAAGCAAAACCTAAGCGTTTATCCGATTAATAGTCCAAGCTTGGAATATCTGTTAATTCTATTAATACATAAATACATAGGCATAAATACGATGTAATTTTTTTATTTTAGCTGTTTTTCACTTCTATTATTTATTCTCATTTTATGCTTTACATTTTGAATTCCTTTAAATTTTTTTTCAATTTTTTAATTTTTTATTGCCACTGTTTTTGATAGAAAAATATTTATAAATATTTAAAAATATTTATAAATATTTAAAATATTTATGTTTATAAGCCATATTTATAAAAAAGGTAATCGAAATAAAGTATTTATGATGCTAAGGCTTTCACTTTTTATTTCATTTAATAAAATTATTACATTATCGCTATCGCCACTGCATTAAACTCTTTCCTCAGGTACCAGTTGTACTGGTTTGGCTGCTTGCAGACCAATGTCTTATACGATAGCCAAATGTACAAAATTGATCAAAGTGAAATCGCTGGAGATGGGTGAGTGTCCTGCAACCACTCGGTTTTTATGCATGTAATTGAAATGGGCTGAAATTATTTAGTAAGATTTGAACTGACATTCATAAGTGGATAACCAAACTTGATACGAAACATATTTCCTGAGAGAAAAAAAGGAAGTTTTTGGTTTCATTGGATATAAAGCGGCTTTAGTAAATGGTTTATAAGTTCGGTGTTCAAGTGTTAGGTGAACAATGATCTTTCGAATAACTTCTAAACAAGTACAAATCGCTGGTTTCGCTGGTTCCATTAAATAATAAAATAAAATTCATTGGTTAGAAATTCGCTTGGCTGATGGAGAGGTGAAAAAAAATTCCTGCGGACTTCATTTTTCATCATACCTTTTCATTTATTTCATATCTTAAATAAAATTGTTGTGCTTTTACCAAATTTATCGAAAATTAACTGAAGGTTATGATAACAGAGTGCATTGAACCTAATTTGAATAAATTTCGAGCAAAATATTCTAAATTAAATTTCTAATTTAAAATGCATTTTAATTATACTTTTTTGCAAGTTCGGTGGGTAAAATTATTTTGTTCAATTTATTTTTACTTTAATTATTCTAAAATATTAATATTTTGGCAGATGCTACGACGCCAAGATATGTTGACTTTTGCATTAAAATAGCTAATGATTCGGATACGTCGTAGCCTAGCCTGGCTTAGATTGGCCTAGCCTGGCCGCATAGAAGTCGTGTTAAAAAAATTTATATTCGCTAGCTTTTTCAAATTATCTCAATAAGTGCATCAATCATACATTTTTTTCGATGAACGAATCGCGATGTCATGGTATTCTAAAATTTATATATTTGAACGAAAATATCGCAAAAAGCATCCCGTAACGGGATTTCTTCTAAAAATGGCGATGAATGCACCCCTTATTATGAACTTTATTATAATGGCTTATTCGTAAGTCCATTCTGTTCTCATTTTTTCCCATCTGTTCTAATAAAAAAAAAGCGTTCAACATTTCTGGTTAGTTACTCCGACTCGGCCTATGGCACCTAATATAACGCCGCTTCGATAATAGCAATGTGAAGAAGTACAGTTGATTCTCAATGAGATGTTTATTGCTACCAAAGAGTCGAAGCTGCCTGTAATTAAGAAATTTTAGTCATGTTCTGGTGAAGTGGCGTAGAATACCCATTGTGATTAGCACTGCAAAATCTCACAAGCCTCCCAATCAAGTGCCTAAATTTATCCGAAGCAAAAAATAGAATTTGTGTATTAGGTGTATCTAAGGTTTATAAGTATTGAGGGAGAATTAAAATAAATTGAGTGAACAGGCTGGAGCAATCTATGAGATTCGTCTAAGACGACTGTAATGATTCTCGAGGAAATATCAAGGGATAAGCCAAGCTTTGAAGAGAATTCTCCTAGTCCCTCTCTTCTCTTTTTATTAGTATCATATGCTGAGACTATTTCAGATATTATGTGTACATTTGGCTTATTTGCCTTACTTGTTTAACAAGTTCCATTCAAATTACGATATACCTTATTATCTTTCATGCAATCCTATTTATGATGTTTTGGTCTTTAATACGATCTCTTATCACTTCAACTGCGAGAGTTCCAAACGATTACTTCGTAATGATTTTTCATTTGTCCTGGAAATTTCTAGGAGAATTTGTTGCAAATTAACTATCATTAAATTATCAGCGAAAGGCTTTTTACTCATCGAAACATGAAATCCAATCCAATCCAATTTCAAATTGAATTTCATGTCGATGAAGAAGTCGATAGAAAATTGAAGGAAATAACGCCAATGAAGGACGGCAAATATCAACCGGACGAATCATCGGTCGATCAGATACGAGAACAGAAAAAAATCCTCGAAGATTTTGCGAAATCGAGGAAATTGATGCTCTTCGAAGTCGACAAATATAATCGCCTAAGGTTAATAATAAACGAAGATAAGTGCATGATTGACTTATGAAAATCAAGGAAATTATTTATACTTAAAGATTTTGAGCCTACAAAGATTGAAAGTTTTTTTGTTGAATTTTAAAGATTTGCTCTCTTTACTTTCTTTTAGCTCTTATCATATCTTATCTTATCTCTTATCACTTGATTTTAGATATTGCTATATATGTCGCTTAATTAAACCAGATCGTAGCCATCACTGTTCATCCTGTGGTTTCTGTGTTCTAAAATTTGATCATCATTGTCCTTGGATAAATAAATGCATCTCTAATAGCAATTATAAATATTTTCTTCTTTATCTGTTTTATGGATGTTGTTTAATTATTTGGTTAGTAAATTTATTTATAAGAAATACATGAAATTTGAAAAATCACCCCTCCGATGGACCCATATGATTATACTTCAGGATATTCCTGTCAAGTAGTGAATGCTTGATTCGATATTTTATCAGTGAAATTGCAATAAGTTTATTGGAAATCACTATGATCATTCTTCTGATGTTGATTTGTATTGTATTTGGATTTTATCCATTTGGAGAGTTAATGATATATCATATAAGGTTGGTGTCTCTAAATGAGACCACCTGTGAGCAGGAAAAACCGCCAATTATTAAGTAAAGATTTATCATTCATTTACGAGTTTCGGAATCTAAAGCATACTTGACCTGATCACTACTGGAGAGGTTCCTTTAAAGTCATTAGAAAGGTATTTGTGACAGGTTTAGCCAGTTGCTTCTTAACTGATTATTATCAAAACAACAGAAACAATAAAGAATAATTTTATTCGAGAAAAATATTAACATCAACAACAAGTATTACTATTTACTTTATTATAATTTATAAATCATATATATATTAAATATATAAATATTTATATTAATATTTATATACTTATATTAATTAATATTTCTTATAGCGGTAATGCAAATGCCGATTACAATATTGGTATATATGAAAATTTTTATGCAGCACTTGGTTGGGGGTTTTGGGGAATACCAATAAATACTTCAGTATCTAATGGTTTAAAATTTCCTCTTCGTTATAGATAATATTTGGTTCGATTTGAACTTTTAGTTCATTTTTAATTTTCTTCGAAATAATATATAAATAAATTTGTTGTTAAACGTTGCAATAATTCGGATTCTGATAAATCTCTAACATCACTTTTGATAATTTTTCCATAAATAAAATAGAAACTTATACTTTAACAAATCATATATATATATACAATATATAAAAATTTTATATAAAATTTTCATTAAAAAGATTACAAACTATGAAATATTAAATATTTTTCATAGAAATTTTCAAAAATTTTACAGTAGATTTTGTTTCATTACCATCGAATAATATAATCCCTGCTTATTAATCAATTCTTGATGAGTCCCTATAAAATTTGAATTTAATTTAAAATCAGTTAAGGAATTAAAAAATGAAAATGGCGTTTTACCTCCTTCAGTAACTCGTCCCTTCTCAATGACGGCAATATAATCAGCTTTTTGAATCGTAGAAAGGCGATGTGCAACGATTATACATGTTCGTCCAGACGAAGCTAAATCAATGGCTTTTTGCACGATCTGCAAAAAACTTATCAGTTTTTAATAAGTATTGTTGTGGAAGCAACAATAAAAATTAGGATTTGGTCGATATCTCGACTGATTCACCTGTTTTGTTATCCCAAAATGTGTAAAATAGTTGGAAAAGAATTTTAGTTTTTAAGAGTAATAGTTGATAGTTTTTTTTTGAATGTCGTGTTTTCTTGTTCTTATGGAACATGGAATTTACTAAATGATTTAAAAAATAAATTTAAAATTTAAATTTACTGCTTCACTTTCCGAATCGAGCGCACTTGTCGCTTCATCGAGCAATAAAATTTTTGGTCGCCTTATTATTGCTCGCGCTATAGCTACCCGTTGTTTCTGACCACCAGATAACTGAATACCATTTTCACCAATAATTGTATCATAACCCTATAATCATAGATGTCTTAAAATAGAGTATAAATAGAATAAACGAGAAAATGACTAAAAATGGTTGATTTCGCCAAATTAGGAAACCATGTGACGAAAAAAAACCTATCATTAAAAAGTGGAAATCGAATGATTGCTTACGAACCACGGAGAGAACCGAATTGCCTCTTATAATTGTAATAAGGTCAACTAAAGGTAATGAAGTTTAAATATTTATTAATTGAGCAAAGAATATTTCCATTAAATTGGTTTATTAATTTAATTAATTTTTAAAAATTTAAAATTTAAATTTTTAATTAATTTTTAATTTAAAATTTTAAAAGTTAATTTAACCTATTATAAACTGGTATGCTCAATGGCTTGCTATTTTCTATTTTCATTTAGTCAATGTTGGCATTTTATTCCTGGCAAGAGTAAACATGTCTTTTAAGAGTCCGAGCAGTGCTGGTGATCTATTTGTACTTGTATCGCTCCCTGGCAAAAATTATCTGGCTCGACGAGCTAACGGAGTGATGTGAACCTAATCAGAAATAGCAAACACTCTTAACAAAAAAATTCACTTGAGGTAATTTTCCAATATCGTCATGTATATTCGCTAATTTGGCAGCATTTTCGATTTGCGCAAATGTGTATTGTTCATTTCCATAGCAAATATTCTCCCGAATACTGCAGTTGAATAGCACTGGTTCTTGGCCAACTGTCGCCATTTGATTTCGAATAGATTTCAAGTGATATGCTCGAATATTTAGATAATCTATTTCCTGAAAAATATTGTAAGAAAAGGGAAATTTGCTTCCTGGAAATCGCGTAGAAAAACTGGGAAAGAGAGAATTCATAGCAATTTAAAATTGTTAATCGTATTTTAAATTCTGAACCGACCACTTTTCCATCAACTGGATCGTAAAACCGATTGATCAATGCAATAGCAGTGCTTTTTCCACATCCACTTGGTCCAACTAAAGCTAAGGTTTTGCCTGACGTTACTGCTGCTTTAAGTCCTTGAAGAACACCTTGAGTCGGATTTTGTGGATAAGCAAAATAAATTTCATCCAACGTTAAAACACCAGCAATAGTATTACGAAGCCCTGTTTCTTTTCTTATATCGATCTTTGGCTTGGCTTTTTTCATTGCGAATATAAGTCCAGCAGCCATTTGTGCATTCATCAATTCAGGTAAAAAAGTTGCCATATTCATTACGCCCATAGTCGACATTTGGATTGAAGTTATCACTCTAAAATCAAAAATTTAAAGTCACACTAGCATCGTATTTTCTCAATAAATGAAAGCAAAAGCTTACTGATAAACATCGGAAGGAATCATTTCTCCAATAGTTACGAGGTATATGCCAAAACTGTACGCACCCGTAGCAATAAATGATGATAACGACGAAGCTAATCCATATACAAATGCTTGCATTTGTATTTTAATCAGCTGACTCCTAAAAAAATTATCTTTTAACGTTAATCGGTTTCGATAGAACGACTCAGAAAATTTATATATCTCTTAAATAGAAAGTATGTATTTTTATTCTAAAAAGCATCTTTTTTTCAAGATCGTTCATCACTTATGGACCTCCGCTCCTCTGGCTTATCGGACCAGACTTATTTTTCTAGGAAGTCATTGTAAAAGCCATCTGGAGTTTCGAAAGATAGATTTGTCTCTGAAAGAAATCTCAACATCGATGCTCAGAAATGCAGGCAATAATACACGCTGAACCAATCATAATAAAATTAAATTTGGAACTTACCTATAAGTTTTTTTCATCAAATGAACAAATTTTTCATACAAATAAGTTTGCCGAGTTAAAGCTTGAATTGTTCGTGGATTTTCTATCGATTCTATTGCAACATGAAATATATTTTTCATAAATTTTGTTCTACTTGAATATCTTAAAAACTCTTAAAACAATAAAATTAACAATAAACAAAGTTCATAAAGTTAATGTTACTTTGCCAGCATCTTCAGCATAAGTGATATCTCTTCGTTCCTGAATTCCTACGATCCTATTAAGAACGATTTGTGAACCAGTTAGCAAAATATAAAGTGTGAGAACTAGTAAGGACATTTGCCAACCGAAATAAAATGCGATCGTTAGCCCAGAAATCAGTGAGACACATCCTTGAACAATAACTGCCATCCTCTGATCAAGGCACTACAATGAAATAAATTATTACTATGGGGAGTTAAAAAATTTTGAAAATCTTTACACCAACTTTCATACCGATTTGACATTTGGTGCATCAGTAGCCAGTCGCATGGTTAACTTAAGAGGAGAATGACAGGGATCATCATAAAATGAAATATCTTGTCGTAAAAGATTGCTGAATGTGGCCAATCGAAGTCGCATTGTTAGGCGTTCTCCAAGTGTACCGTAAAATGAGACCTTGAAAGCAAATTTTTTGGTTTGCAAGAGAAATTGAGCAATTTGAATTCATCTCAGCAAATTCGAGTAATTTCCAAGTCAGAAAACTTCGAAGAAGATAAGCCAACTTAATTATTCTCTAAAATTTGAACTCACGCAAATTGCAGCGGCTGTTCCTTGTATGAGACCCAGACCAACAAATAACAACGAATTAATAACAGCTGATTTGCTCATCTTCTCACCATCGTCTATTGAAAATGTCTGAAAATGAGAAATCTAAGCCTGCTTATGCTTATAACCATTTAATAAATGCTTGCTACTAAAAGGTTACTCATTGCAATCCACTTTACAATAAATTTAATGGCACAAATCGTAACTAATCTAAAAAAAAAAAATTTTTCTCTTCAGTTATTAACCAGTTTGATATAAAAGAATTCAACTCGATTCGGACAAAATTATTTTTATCCTATTTCTTGTAAAAATATATTATATGTGATGGAAGAACATAAGAATGAGAGAGTTTATGGAATAAAGGAAAAATATCTGTACTTCGTGCGTTGAAGGACAATATAAGAACCAACTTTCAGAGGCATATTTTATACGCAGAAATATGAGAAAAATGGCTTACCACAAATATTTGTCCAAAAACGATCGAAAAAAGAGGAAGCATTAAACCTCGTAATATGGAAAAAGTCAATGCGATAACAAGTAAATGTAGATCAGGCCTGAATTTAAAATTTATTGTAGTTGATTCTACTGATTCTAATTTTAGATTCACTATATTTCACTATATACTGTGCATCTAATGGCATCTCTCTCCGATCCTGTTGTCCCCTCTGGTCCTTTGTCAGAAAGGCGATTTAAATGATCAACTTCAGTGGGTAAAAATGGTGAGTGATAGTGAATGATAGTTTTTGCAATAATACTATAAGCGTTTGAAAGCAGAGAAGATGAAGCATGAAAACCTCGCTTCTCTTAAAATTTCAATTATCGAAGCTTTCGTTGCGTGTTCTTCATCGAGTTCAGCTTTAAGACGATTCGCTTTTTTATCCTCTTTCGATAAACTCTGACTAAATTTTCTCGACAATCGACGAACTTCTGTGTTTGACCTGCAAACTAATTTTTTATTGTAAATCAAAAAAAATAGAATTGTAAAGTTCGGTTACTCGGATTTTAGCTTTTTATAAAGACATTTTTTATTTTTTACGAAAGTTTTCCCGTAAGAAAAAGTTTTAAGCAATAAATCGGAAATTTTCAAATATTTCAATGATGGCACACTTGGATTTAATCGAAATGTTATCATCGAGTGCATTATTAAATGTATTCGCCAATTCGATTTCTGGATGAGCAATTTGTGAGCTTTCTAGTGAAGTGGATTGTCCCACTAAATTAAATCACTGATCACTAAATGAATTATGAAAATATACGACAGAAATGAAATCTAATGAAAGCATTCCTCCAGTCAGATACGGATTTCATATTTCCGAAATTAAGTTTAGCAGCAAAATTTGAAAATAATTGATACCTAACTAAATGAAACAAATGAAAAAATAATCTCTAATGTTAAAAAATGATTTTCATAAGTACCATGATTTGTTCATTGAAAAAATCAAGCAAAATCTGACTTAAAATAAAAAAAAATTTGGTTAAGTTACCAGATTTTTTCTTTGCTTGGAACTTATCACATTCGTTTGCATCAGTAAAAGTTTGTGCTTCG